AAATATGAGAAAATAATCGTGAATAAACTTGAAGAAGCTTCAATCAAAAATCTGAATTCTCCGAAAGCTCTACTTCAGTCTCGAGTAGTCAATCCTTTAATATCGTTACATTTCCTTGCTCTTATATTTAATCTGGTTACCCCGAAATCTGTTCATAACATCTTTCTCTTGAGGAACCAAATTTAAATCGCTGACCGCCAAAAAGTTCAGCTTTGGGAAGCGCCACGCACGCACCTGTGCTTAAAACTGCAAAGGCATTCGATTGTCTATTTCTGCTGCTATGACCTGTGGAAGCCAGTCATTCCATCCTTGTCGTGTAGTGATGCAAACCTAAGCCTACTGATTTGTTCTACAGGGTGTCCCATAAATATTGCACCACTTTCTTTACTTGTAACTTCTTTCAAAATGGATGTATCTTCAAGAGGTTTTACAAAAATTTAGCAATACATTTACATATTGAAAGGAATGACATTCATTGGATATGCTCCCCTGTTGTTGTGAGTATGGCTCCCAATTGCTTCGAACGCAACTCTACTGTGGCCCGCATGGCATCCTGGGGTGTTCTCTTCGAAACTTTGCAGAGAAAAGGCTCCGGCTCATCCATGTGGATGCAATGTTTAGTGCAGGCTCTGCCCCTAACATAGCCCACATAGGATGGTCCAGCACGCTGAAATCAAGGGATAGGAGAGCCATTCGTTCGAGGATGTGAAATCGGAAAGAGTGCCTTAACAGCGCTCCTGAACAATTTTTGCCTCCTATGCAGAAGCTGGGTCCTATGAAAAATCATCACCCCTCCTCAAAGTGGCTAGATACCTCAGTAACAGATGGTGCACCGAAATGTCCCTTGGCTCGGTCTAGTATCAAGTTGTATTCCTTTGTAAACAGGCAGTGATGGTGAGCGACCGGTAGTTGAGACCCCCGTCCAGACCATGATAAGGTTCGGCTGCTGCTTGTGGCGAATATTCCTTTCACTCTCACTGACTTCCTCAAGACCTCATGCGGGCATCCTCGGAGTTTGAAGATTGTAGCTCCGCTCCATGTGAGGAATTTTGTCGTCGATGAAAACGGTGCCCGAATCGCCATTTTCGGCCCTCGACACCAGCTCTTTGAACTTTTTGTCTCTGCTGTGCTCCTCCCGTTGGATTGAGCAGTGGTGCTTATGCAACTTATAATGGACTGTGAGCAGTTGTTATCCGACCATCTCTATAATGGGCCGTGTTCAGAACTCTCCAGCCGTTTTGTCACCCTTTTCTCGGGCCAACCGGGGTATTGCAGTCGTTTCGCTTCTTCATGCTTCCTGAGATCCAAGATGTCAGGACTTATGGGGCGGCTACAACAGAGACTACTTTAATTGGTCTTCTCTTTAGTGCACGGTAGGCCACGGAGCGGTTGACAATTCAAAGAAGCGCGATGCTCATCACCGGATGTCCGACCTAGTTGTGTGAGAGATTAGGCACTCAGTTGAATTTAGGCGCACCATGAGATGCAGGACCGAATGGTAAGCCGTGGAATTTGACATGGTCACTGACAAGAGAATAGAGGATTGAAAGGTCTGCGAAAAAAAAGGAAAGCCACAAACACCTACAGAATTTGAGCAATATTTATGAGACTCCCTGTAGATTCATTTGGACCGCAAAAACTTGAAATGCTCGTTATACTTACTCATTCGTAACCTCTCGCAAGTTCGTGTTTCATCCCGCTGATATGTGGGAGATATACAAAGCAGTCAAACAAATTGAACAACTTTTATTTCATCTCTACAAACTTATGGTGCTCTCTTCCAGCTTGTATCCCTCTTGCGACCTGCTTCCCACTGCATGAGCAAAATGCGACCCCTTCCTTCGAATAGTTTGAATTGGCTGACCGCATGTCTTCCCCCTTCTCGCCTGGTTGCGCTCCTCTAAGGTTTTGCACCGCTGTGAACTTGGCCATTTAGAAGTCCGGCCTACATAGATCTTGTCCCTTATCTGAGGACAAAGTAAACTCTCGTTAATTCCTAACGTTTTCCAAAAACTGACCGAGGATTTGCGCGCGGACCTAATTCGAGACTTGATAGCATAATCAGCTATCGCACGGACAGTTTTACATTTCTGCCTCTCTCAAATTAGTTCAGGCGATGTGCTATGGATGGCGTCTTCTATTTTGTCTGGCTATTTTATGCTCCTTATTTACCCCTAAGACAGCGACTTTTTGAAATTATGCTACCGATGTGTTTTCTGCAGCAACTATCACTCCCAGCAACAACTTGTCATCTGTAGAAATCTGAGTGACGTGCGCCGGGTTTGACCTGGGATTTGAACGAGGGAGCATGAGCGCGGTAACGGCCTATCTTGTCACCACACCATCTCCGCTCGAATGAGTATCCTAGGAATGAAAAATGGTAATTTACTACCATTCATGAATACTTATTTTTCACATTTCATTCGCGGAAACAAGCCGATGTGAGGTTGGGATCCACTTTGAGAGGAATTGCAAGTCGCACTCTGTTAAGGCCCTTCGGGTTCCGACGGCTGTTTCAGCTCTGACGCATTTTCGCCGAATACTGCTTGGAAATCTCTTCCACATACACATAGGAGTCTTCTAATCCAATCTCCGCACCTCTGAACTGCTAGAACTGTGGAAGTTGGAAGCTTCAACAATGTCGTATAACATTGTCCTCAGGCTAGCTTTGGCTGAACAAGCACCCCATGCGTCATCGCTCTGTTTTTGGAAATGTTGAACTGATGCAATAATTTAGGGAGATACTACGCCCAATAGCGCGAGTACTGTGGGTGCCAGACTTGAAAATTCTTTTTGGGAGCTGCGCACACTGGCCAGTAACCTGCGGTATGGCCTACTTTAATTGACTTCTCCATGGTAGTAGCTTTAAGTTCTAGCAACTTGCGGCCGAACAGGAATTATAAAAGTTTCTCTATGTGCGCAATTCCACCATAAAGCAGGCGCCCCTGGCTCGATAAATCCTAAAATTGTGGTAGTGCCTTCAAACTAGCGGAAGTGGTATACATGAACAGTGGTCATAGGGTTAAGGAAGGGACGTTTTTGAAAGGAAGGGAACGAGAAGTACCCCATAAGCTTACAATGCTGTGAAAATTTTCAGGATTGCAAATGGGAAATGAAATTTAAAACGCTAACCTGATTGGCAGGAAAAAGAAACACACGATAGGGAAGACCATCTCGATGAACGGATATGGAGAGAAGCCAAACGCGCACAGTATAATCAGTTGGAGAAGTTGACAAGCGGTGAACAGATGAACTTTTCGTTGAGGAACCTTTCGAATGTAATGCGTGGGCGGGTAGGCTTGCTGAAAGAAAGGGTTACTGAGAAAAAAAAACGCTAAAAGTGATAAACAATAAAATGGTTGTAGTAAAAATTCCCACATGACTATCTAAATATCTGATCTTCTATCTTAAACTGGCAACTATACAGTTTGTGTAGCGTTCAGTTAGTCTTTGTTAAAAATACTAATCAAAAAGTACCTGCTCAGTAATGAGTAGCAGTAATCGCTCAAACATCTCATTGCCAGACAGCGATGTGAGTGCCATGTACAGGAATAGTCCATGCAGTACCGATGTGGGAATCAATTGAAGAGGATATGGTATTAAATAATACGTAGAGAATAGTATCATTACATGAGCGATCAGAGTTGCGAGACGAGTTTCCCGGACATTCATAATCCTAAACATGTGCCACGGCTTGACATTGGAACTGTGGTCAAGACGAACGATATAAAATATTAAAAGGAATACAGCATTCGATGTTGGTTAGTCCCACTTTGGGATGCGCACTGCGTCCTACAACCATTTAAAAATGTGGTGGCATTAAAATGCGGTGTGGCGTAAACAATGACTTGCGGCCCTAACCCCTACATTGGATAAGTTGGTTTTTCGAGCTCTCGAGGTTTGTTACAGATTTATCGGCACCGGGAGTACGAAAGCCTTGAATGATACCTGCTGATACAGGATGGTAATGACTATAATGAGCAAATGTTGAGCTCAGAGTAAAGCCGACTATCGCAATCGCTGTCCAGTGATGTTGAGAAGGTCAGTGCACGCCCCAGTCGACAGTATAGGGTCTCAAATAGTTTTGCCAGTGGAATGTGGTCGAGTCTACTTTCACCACTGATGATGTAGCAGTATCATGACAATATTCTACAAGTCAGTTTGAGGTAGTGTTCAAAAGAAGCAGAACGTCAGAAACTCGAAATGCGAATGCTGTAAAGAAGATCACAAAATGTCAAAAATTCGAGTGGTGGTCTGAATTCGCTGCAATAGAGCGAAAAAGTTGCGGAACAGCGAGAAAAGACGCGATCTCTTCCGGGAGATCTCATTAAACAACCGGCAATGGGTGGTACACTTGGCCGAAGGTGGTGGTGATTACTCTTGAACTTTTACATTTCATTCTCCTTTAATTGATACATCACTTGAAAAAAAAACCCGCGATGAGTTCAGCTGATTCAAACTTTTTTCTTATAATTCTTTGGTGAGTAGGCTAAGCTCCACTAAAGTCTGAAAAGTGTCGCTTTGCAGGCTCGAAAGTGCTCAACATGGGTAGCAGGAGCTTTCCGAGCACTTTTCCCTTTAGCGCGAAGCCAATTGAATGAGGGATTTAAAACAAATTTGAGACTTTGAATGAGGGATTACACTGGGACTTTGATATATCATTTTTGACGGTTCTTTTCATCTTCCTTCTCTTACGATCCAGTTCGCAACCCTGTTTTACTTTTTTTTGTGCAAGAATTGCACCAGTTTGGTCCTGGGGTGGAATTAGGAGGGCCATTTTCTGTCTTACATCGAGCAGTAGTTTCTGCTTTTGAAAATTAAATGCGAAGTGCATCGAATACGGAACCATTTTTCTTTGATCATGAGTGGAACTTTGCCAAATAACTTACACTTCATGCACGTGCCCTTGCGAGACACGCTCTTCAACGTCGGCCAGAGCGCGCAGATGTAACGGAGAATGCGGAAGAGCGCCATGCATCCATGGCAAGCCGAACACCGACAAAAACACATTCAGAAGAGCCACCACGAACAGATCGAGGTTTTGCGTTGAGCCTTTCTTCAGTCTGAAACAAGGATCAATTCTTAGGCACTCACAACAATAGTATTGGTGTAGATTGCAAACAGCAAGTATTGATTCAAAATCAATGAAATGAATTCAGAATCATAAATCAGTCTCTCTTAGTAGAAGAACGGGAGCTGTCTACTCCAAGTGCATCTTACCAGGAAATGCTTTAAATTCCATGGAACTTTGGAAGGAGACCTAGATGTATCGATAGAGTCTTGAACGCTGATTACAAATATGGACACTAAAACTGCTACGTGAACTTCCTAAGAAAGTTATGAGCCTTCAAAGTTGGCAAAAAACGTTACTGAGGCGAGCTTACCTGGTGGAATCACAGTCGCCGTGGCTCTGCGCCAAAAACGAGTCTCATATTCGTAATCAGGGCACCCATTTACCCTTATAGAACAAGTTCCAGGCAAAAAGCAACCGTGTTTCCACATAGGTTGCACCTCATCATTAGCGTTCTTTTGCAACTTTTAAGGCTCACAACTTTCTTACAAAGTTCACGTAGCAGTTTTAGTGTCCATATTTGTAATCAGCGTCCAAGACTCTATCGATGTACCTAGGTCTCCTTTCAAAGTTCCATGGGAATTTCAAATCCCTGGTTAGACCACCTATTTGAGCTTCATTCTTTTTCGCAGTAGAAATGGCGCATATTCAGTGCTAGGAGGGAAACGAAGAGGGAAGTGATCAATCCTCTGGCAAAAGAAAAGGATAAAAGCAGTATCAAAAAAAAGGTTCGTCAGACCGACTGCTCGAAAAATTGTCAGTCTTGAGCGGTTGCAAACTAGTGAGTT